GAGAGAGAGAGAGAGAGAGAGAGAGAGAGAGAGAGAGAGAGAGAGAGAGAGAGAGAGAGAGAGAGAGAGAGAGAGAGAGAGAGAGCTCACCTGATTTCGTCCTTCATTGAGCATGTCAATCCTCATGGCCTCTTGCCAGTCCTCGGGAGCAGAGCATTCAGGATCGTGGCCATAGATAACGCCGCGGTAGCCTATCAGAGGGCACACACACACAAAGTGTCAGTTTCATACACTTTAAACGCCGTTGCGTAGGTAATATATCCACAGAAAGAGAGAGACATATAATATTTGGTTACCACTCTATGTCCTATAATAATAAGCCTTCTCTGTGTGTGCCGGACTCTGCGGAGCACATCCTCTTTCCGCTCTCTCCTCACGGTCCGCTCACACGATCGGACACACCTCTGTCACACCCATATCTGTCAATTTCCTTCCTTTTTTATGTAATTTCTTTTATCCCTTTTTCTTCCTTTTCATTCCTTTTTTTTTTGCTTTTTTATTCCTTTCTTGTTTGTGAACAAAGAATGTCATATTTGAATGAGACGTACATTTGAATGTTGAGGAAGAAGAACAGAAACGTACACCCATGTTTCGCAACCCCCCGATTGAGCCCCCATGCTTCCTCTTCTCAGCCCTTGGCTCCCCCCGGTCACCCCTCCGCCACCCCCCGACACCCCCCGCCACCGCGCGCCGGCCAACGAGCTCCAGATAAACTCAGATTTGTTTTACTCATCCTGTTCATCCGTCTGATCCATTCGATTCCATGTGGACTAACTCATGGGTCTACAAACGCATAGTGCAGCCCCACGGGCTCGTGGTGGTCCCACAATCATCATAGTTCAGCCCCACGGGCTGGTGGTGGTCCCACAATCATCATAGTTCAGCCCCACGGGGTGGTGGTGGACCCATCGTCATTTTCGAGGTTCCTTCCCGTCTATCCTCCCTTCCTGGGATGAGCTTTTTGGCGTACGAGAGAGGCTCTGCGCTTTTGGAATCGAGCATATATATCGTCACAAAGATATCAGAGCGCAAAAGCGAAAAACAAAAACCAGAAAAAACCAATTCATTTTTTTATCTTCTTCCTTACAAACTCCCCCTGTTCAAAACATCTTGCGTACAAGGCCGCCCACGTGGATGTATATATTTTTTAAGCTTAAAAAGGGGGGGCCAGGGAAAAACGAATAAGTCACCCCAAAAAAGTTCAAAAAAAAGGGAACAAAAGACGATGAAATATTGTAATAAGACTGGTGGACCCATCGTCATTTTCGCGGGCTCCTTGAGCCGTCCATCCTTCCTTTCTTTGATGAGCTGTTTGGCAAGTTACGAGAGAGACTCTGCACTTATGGAATCGAGCATATCTTCTTTTTAAAAGCACAAAAAGGGAAAAAAACAAACAAACAAACGGAGTCCCCTGGAAAAACTTTGTACCATCCATTCAAGTGTAGTTCAATTCGGCTCAACTGCCCAAGGCGTTTGCAGAGCGCGCACTTCACTGGTTAAAGTGAGATAAACAACCACAAAAAAAAACGAAAATTCCTACAACAGTAAGATCAGAGCCAAAACTACTCAAAAGTGCATTCCATCCGGCGTAATGCGGCGTGGCATACCAAAAAAAAGGGAGGAAAAAAAAAAGACGATGAAATGGAATAAGAGGACTGGTGGGCCAATCGTCATTTTCGAGAATCCTGTCCGTCTATGCTTCCTTCCGTTGAGCTTTTCGGCGCGTTACGAGAAAGACTCGGCGCTTATGGAATCGAGCATATATATATCGTCAAACAGAACTGCCCGGTAAACCGTAGGCGGAGAGGGAGAAGAGGACAACATACGAGGGGCTGTGACAAACTGTTTCGTCGGAGTTTCGCCGACTCATCAGGATATTTATTTTTAAAAAAGGCACAAAAAAAAGGAGAAGTCACTGGGAAAAAAAAAAATTACAAAACAGAGTTAAAAAAAAAAAAAAAGAGAGAGCTACAGCACAGTCACAGGGTTTGAGAGTTTAAAAATGCACTTCAGGCGAAAGGCCTGAAACGTCGCATGTATAAAAGCTAGGTTTCCGGTCCGGTGGGGTCACGTGGGGGTGTGGTATGCTCGGGGGAATGACTGAAGTGCATTTTCGTGACTGCGCCATAGTTAACCCCCTACCCCAAAAAGGCGATGAAATGGAATAAGACGACTGAGAAAAAAGGGGAAAGGAAAAGAAAAGAGAACAGATGTACCATAGCGTCGATGAATGATGACGTCTCCGACTCTGTAGGCCGTGCGCGGCTTCGCCGAGATCTCCAACACACGCTTGCGGAGCTCCATGGTGTTTATGTAATCACGTAACTGATCCACGTGTCACCATGTCACAACAGCAATCAACAACGGTTCAACCAATGGAAGAAGTCAGTACACCAGCTCAATCAATCAACCAAGCAACGAATCCAATCAAATCCAAAAAAAAATTAAAATCATTCAATTATGCAACTGCGATACTAAACACACCCGTTTCACTAAAACGTCGTGCACCTAAGCAATCAATCAGTCCAATTAATCGAACAATCAATCGACCGATTGATTGATAACCCAGTACATCGACTGGTAGAATGATAGATCGATAGATTGATTGATTGATCGAGTGCCAATCAATCCATTGATTGATTCCGCGATTCCATCGATTCTTTGCCTATATTGATTGATTGATTGATTGCAAATGTCCATCCAATTTCTCGATCAATCAATCGTTTGATTTACTGGTACATTGATTACTGATTGATAATCAACAGCAACACCAAAATCCAATCCCGCACATCCCGCCAGTCACCACCCAGTCCCATCAAAAATATACCAGACGACACTTTATCGATCAATGAAACCCATCAATCAACACCCATGATCGATCGACCAATCCGCCTATCAATCATCATTTGATTCGCTCGAACGATTGGATATCGAATCGGTCGATCAAACGAAAATCCATCAACTGCTTCATATCAAATCTTTGATCGACAATTCAATCCACGAGTCGATCACACTCTGCTCCATCGTCCGAACTGATCGCTGAGTTTTTTTTTATCGTACAAACATAGATAGAATATACTCGAAAGGAATATCACTCACTGTGACTGTCACATACTTTGTTTCGCATTCACATTTTCTTTCATTATTGCTAGTTATATTATATCCTAGGAAGCGAGTCCGCACAAAATTTACTACCAGAAATAAAAATCAAATCATGCTGAGAAATTCAACTCGGCACGACCAAGCAAAATTCACTAACAGAAATAAAAATCAAATCATGCTGAGAAATTCAACTCGGGCACGACCAAGCAAAAACCGACGCGAAGAGCCCTCGACAGAGGAGAGCTAGAAGGAAATCAGGAAGAGCAGGAGGCAGACTGGTTAAACGGGGGGGGGGGGAAGGG